TTAATATACTCTATCTATTTTCATTAAAAGTATTATGGTAAACTTTTATCTTTTTTCAACTTTTCTTAAAAAATAAAAACTACAAAAAGTCAAAACGAGAAGATCTTAGACAGACGGAGGAAGCATCTTAGACATTATTTTTTTCTTTTCTAAACTGGGATTAAAAAACAAAATTTTAAAAAAAGTACGTATGTGTACTACTAAAACAAGAATAAAGTAAAAACAAAAATAAAATAAAAAACATTACATAAATTGGACATAAATTAATGTGTGGAGTACATTATCTCTGACATTTGTTTAGCTGTTCAATGTAGGGTTGTGGGCCCAAAGGCTTTGCACTCCGATAATGATTTCTGCTCCCCACCCTGACACACAGCAAACTTCCGTGGGCATCGGTACAGGCAATTGTCCCCCAATCGGATCGTGACCGAACCCGGCTCCGCTTTTAGAAACGGACCCGGTATCGCCCCGAACAGGTAGTTCCCGCCTAATAACAACCTCTCGAACTGCGACGGGTTTTCTCCGACCCGACCCGAACTTGAACCCGAGCCCGACCCTTTCAGGGCGTATTGGGCCGGTATCATGCCCGAGAGCTTGTTGTACTCCAGAGAGAGGGAGGATAGTCGGGGCAGCAACCCGAGGAATTCGGGCAAGGACCCGCGGAGCTCGTTGTGGGTCAGGTCAACGGCGACCAGTTGACTGGTGTTGAGAGAATTCGGGTCGGGTTCTTGCACCGACCCGTACTTGTTGTGCGAGAGGTTCACCTGTTGGAGGGACGGGTGGGTGAAGAGACTCGCCGGGACTGACCCGGTGAGTCGGTTGTGACTCAGGTCCAGCACCTGCAGGGAGGATAACCCGGCTATGCCTGCCGGGATATTCCCTCCTATGATGTTGTTCCTCGCGACGAGCTCCACGAGGGACGACGGGAGACTCGCCCGCATCTCGCCGGAGAAGGCGTTGTTGCTGGCGTCGACGAAGCGCAGCGAGGTCAGCCCGCCGAGTTCGGGGAACTCGCCGGAGAACGAGTTGTCCTGTAGCTCCAGCCTCGTCAGGTTCTTCAAACCGCCCAGACTCGGAACGGGCCCCTCGAACCTGTTCCCGTCGAGGTAGACTTCCTCCAGGGCGGAGAGCGACGCGAGCGAGCTCGGAATCCAGCCGGAGAACGAGTTGCGAGAGAGACTCAGCACCCGAAGCCGAGTCAGATTCAAGAACGAGTCGCCGGGGACATACCCATCGAAAGAATTCCCGGAAAGAACGAGTCTTTGAAGGTAAGGGAGGTTCCAATAAACGGATTCCAAAGAACCAGAGTACCCCGATCGATCAAGAGCGATCTCGGTGACGCGGGACTCGGAGAAAACGACGGCGTCACACCGGAGGCCGCAGGTGAACTTCTCCGACAAGATACTGTCGCAGGGGTCCGCCGCGAAATTCCACGAGCTCAGACAGGAACCGGGAGTTACGGAATCTGGGTTCACGCTGTTCTTGAGCTGCTTCAGAGCATCAATGTCTTGCCAATGGGTAATCGCAGAGGCGCTGAATAAGAACAGAGCATGAAGGGGAACCAAGAAGATGAAGAAGAAGAATTGGGCGGCCATGTTTCGGATCGGGTTTCCGGGCTACGGGTTTATAACCATATCATATCGCAGAGAAAAGCTTGGGGTTGAGATGAAATCACTGGTAAAAGTGAATTGGTGTAGGATGATGATGATGATATGGTGGATGTAAAGATGACGACGGCTGGGATTGGATGGACAAGAAGGAGGTGGACGGAGTGTGTATAATTGGAATAGGATGCCCTTTTTTGCGGGTTTGAAATCTTGTGACTAGCCAATAATTTGCCCAACATAACGAATCTATGCACCACCCATGAACTTGCTTGATATTAACCCCTTATTATTTGGACGGAGAAAAGAAAATAAAGAAGTAAAATAAGGGTTTGGTGAAAATTTTACTCCGGGTAAGATTTATTTTTCTTCTTCTCATTTAGATACTCATTTCGTCTTAAAACTATCTTCCAACTTAAAAAAAAGGATGTAAATAGATTATATTACCCCATGTGGCTTCCTCCTTTCGTCTCCCATCTTAGTCTCTCTTCTTTCTCCCTCTTTCTCATCACTTTTTCCTCTCTCCCTTCCTCTATCTCTCATACCCAGGTAAATCTCCATCTTTTTTCCATCCCTCTAAAAAATCATTAGATCTAATCCTCTTCTTCTCTCTTCCCTCTCATTCTTTCTTCGTCTCCTCAAAATCAGATCTAGATCTAAAGTCCCTTTCCCCATTTTGATATACTCTCGATGATATGCCCCTTCGTCTAAAGTCCCTTTCGATCTAAAGTCTCTCTCCCCCTTCGTCTCCTCAATTTTTGGTTAGTTTTTTTAGTTTTTCTTTTTCATTTCTTAGGAAAAAAATAGGTTTTCAGCCACCCAATGTCGCCTCCGAGCAAGCCACCCACAGCCGCCGTCATTCCAATCACGGGTGCAGCCGCTCAAAGTTGTGGCTAATTGCACCGTCCAATTGCCAGAAAGAGGTTGGGGATCTGGATTGGAAATTTGGAATGTGTTTTTCAGTTTTAAGAGGGGTAAAACTGAAATAAAATTTGGGAAGTGTTTTTCAGTTTAATTTGGGAAGTCAAAGGCAAAATAACTAGACTCTTAAAAATGGGTTTTAGTCAAATTGGGAATGTGGTTTTAGGACGGAGGAGTATAATAAGAAGAAAGAAAAAATAAAATTACTTTCTCTACTAAATAATACTTCTTTTGTTCTAAAAACTTTTCTTGTTTTGATTTTTTAATCAAATAGTGACATTCTTTGACCACAAATTAAACTAATTCTAAACAGATAAATGAAATTAAAATTTGATATATCAACAATATATATCCTAAGATGAAACCAATTATTTTGAATTTATATTAGAATTAAATTTACTTATACTTAAAGAGTATCACTGTTTGACAAAAAAATCAAAACACAAAAGGTTTTTAGGACCGGAGGAAGTAGAAAGTAGAAAGAAAGAAATGGATGGAGCTACTATTTGACAAAGGCAATGAAAAATAATCATGTTTAGCATTGACTCCTTATATATATGACTGTGGACATATCACATTATTATCATCTAATCTGAAATTAAAGTTTAATTTACCTTTTTATAGACTATTGTTCGGGTTGGTCCTAGGAGACCTTAGAATGGGGTTTGATGATACTCCCTCCAAAGACCAGGTTCCCCCAAAGACCGTACCCTAGTTGTGCAAGAACCTGTCCCACTTAATTGAATTCTTGGTCCTTTCAACGAGACCTTAGAAACCTTTGAAGAGTGGGAGGCTTAGGGAAGTCGTTTCTACCCCTTGAATCCTGAAGTCGTTTTTTTCATTCATACCCAAATTCTAAAACTCCTTAAATTAACAAGGCCATGAGTCTTCTTCCAAAGTGGATACATTCTCCACTAAGACCCTAATTGGTCAAATATCATCACCCCCACTGGAGTACCCGCCTAGATTTTCATTTAGCATCCCCCGGCTAGGTATCAATTTTTCGTTTCATCCTTTACTAGTCGAAGTCTATTATTTTTTTCATCTTAACTGTCAGCTCACTCCCAACACTTTTTTGAGTGCTCCCCTTAAGTCATACTTAGTCATATTAATACGTGTTTTCACATGTTAGTCCCCAAGATAAATTAATTATCAAGATGGTACTTATTAATTGAGAATAATGCTCAATTTAATCTACCGACTAATGATCATCAAAATAATGTAAAAAATTAAATTAATTTCCCAAAATAATTTTTTTCAAATTAGGTTGATGGAGGATAACCCCACGTCAGCCTAGGGTTGACATCAACTGGGGCCCGCATTCGGGCATACACATGAAAGGGCCCCAGGCTCAGCTCGATAGGTACGAGCCCGGCCGTCAGGCTCGGCAGGTACGAGCTCGACTCGTCCCTCAACTCGTCCCTGATGATATGTCCGCCTCGACTCGGACCGCGTGATGGCGACGGGGAGACAACGACTGGGGGATAGGGACGGGCGATAACAACTGGCTGAAAGGGACTAGACCATGAGGGTTAGGTGACGTCTACTAAGCGACAAACATCGGATGAAAATATATTAAATAAAACTAGAAATATAATTTAATAAATTTGAAACTAACGCAAACATTTCAAATTGTTTACAATTATTTAGAATAATGTTATGTAAAAAATATTTAATAAAAAATGTCTTTGTTTGGAAATAAAACTCCTGATTCTGTTTACGATGTTTGGCCGAATGTTATTTTCAATTGAACATAACTAAAAATGGTCTAGAATTTTCTATTAACACGAGTCTTATCTTGGTATGAAAGGAGTATTATGAAATGAAATTCAATTGTAGAAATAATAACTTACACGAAAATAAAGTATAAATTTTATAATTAAAGAAAATTGAATTCAGTAATTATGAAATTACCGTGACTAAGTAATACTACATTCATCCACAAATAAAGCGCATTTTTACAACTCCGTATTTACAAGGTCAAAAAAATCTATTTGCCTAATACATATTTGTCGATCATTTCAAAAAATAGTCATGTCATCACTTATTTTGTATAATTTCCTAATACTTATTTGCACAAAAAAGAGCTTTGAGGGGAGATTTTACAAGGTCATACCGCATTTTTAGGTATATATTATTACTAAGTACATATACCTATAGGTATACATATAAAATTATAAATTTTCCGTGGGGTCGCGTGACCCCGTATGACTCAACGTGGGTCCGCCCCTGACTCTTAGAGTCTTTTTAGTACACAAAATTGACAAAATTAGAAATGAATTAGAAATTGAAATTCCTAGAAATTGATTTGAATGGAATTGAATTTTCCGATTTTGTGACATTACTAATTTTAAATCCATATATTCTTGTACTACAAACCACTAATTAAAATTATTGTCTCTAATTTCATTCTCATAATTTATATTTGGTGTAGTACTAAACCAAAACTTTAAATACATTGAATTGATTTGAATTCGAAAGACAAAGACATTCTAGAGGGAGAGATGGAGTAGTAGCAAGTGAAGTTATTGAGCCCACCAACTTTTGGTCCACAAGTACGAAAACCCATTCATTTCCCAAATTGGGGCTGCGCATCTCGCGTCACCAAAGAAAGACACTGGTCATTCCCAAGGCCAAAATGGGAAAAGTGAAAAGTACATAACAACCCCGCGAGGGGGCGGTTACACACATAAATGATGGGCCGGTGAGAAAAGGCAACGCAGAGATTTGCAGAGAGATATGGACGTGGAAGGGATAGAGAGAGGCTTGAGCGAGGCGAGAGAGAGCTTCGACGGCGGGAAAACCAGAGGAATTCCATGGAGGAAAGCACAGCTCCGGGCCGTACTCAATCTCCTCTCCGAGAACGAAGATTCGATCTTCGAAGCTCTGAAACAGGACCTCGGAAAGCACCGCGTTGAAGCTTATCGCGACGAGGTTTTCTCTGGCTTTCCTACTCGATGATTCTTACTGCTTGATTCTGCGTTTGAACTTTGAAGTTTGAATTTCTACTTTTGGCTCTCGTACTAACAATTAATCAGCTAGGGCCAGTCTGTTTTCATGTAATGTGTGAAATGAGCTTGTTCGGTACTCCCTCTTATTCAATTCATTTCAAAATCAGCATATACAACTAAGAGATCTGGAGTAAGATTCACTGGTATATACTTCTTTTGTCCGGAATTAATCGTCCAGAAATAATTTTTTTACTCTTACATAAATTATAGAATACTAGATTGAGGTTGGCAATCTTTCTCTTTCTACTAAGCAAATTTAAACCACCAATTTTTTATTTTTTTAAAATAATGAGGACAATTAATTTGGTACGGAAGGAGTATCTAACAACAACAACAACAACAACCAAGTAGGATCCCAGGTCTGAGGAGGATGCTTGTACCCAGACCTTAACCCTTCTTGAAAGTACTCCAATATCGAGAGATTGTTTCTAAAGACTCACATATATCTAAAATAATATAAAAAATTCTACAAAACTAGGAGTGATATAACTATTTTAGTTTATGAAAATGAGTAACCAAAATATGCAAAGAAAAGGGATAAAGTTTCTCATGTGAATTGTGAATAATGACTGGTTCACTTAAAAAGAAATTGAGAGATTAATTTGTACTCCTATAATAAGGAAATTTTTAATCTTAAAATGGAACAATTAGTAACTTGGCAAAAGTTGAGTTGTTTGGTTCGGAAGCATCACACATATGCAAATTTGTTTTTTCTTAAGGAGCTGTTATTTTGAAGTTGTTTTATGAAGTCGGATCTGAAATTGCATAATTTTTTTTTATTTTCAGCCTAAATTTATGTTCATGAGTGTTAATTTGCTTCAATTGTTGCCAACTTTTCTGGATTTTAACTCATGATTTGTATGTTTGATGCATGCTTCCGCAGGTTGGTGTTCTGGTTAAATCTGCAACCACTGCATTGAACAATTTTGAAAAATGGATGAAACCCAAAAGGGTAAAGTTTCTTACTTGCCTCCATTTAGAAATGATTGGCATAGTTTTATTATTTTATTAAATTGAACGAAATTCAAAGTTTTTTGAATAGCGAAGCACCTTAATGTTGCATTATATGTGTGCATGTCTTGATGTGCTGAACAGAATCAAGCATGTGCAGAATGTAAAAATTATGAGAATCCTCACACCTTAACCCCAACTACATTGTGGGTTAGAGGCATGAAAGTTATGGTGCAAGTTAAATCTGCAGAATCTGTTCATACTACTATAAACTCACAAAAAACAGTCACAAAGTTTTACACTATATGGTGTTTTTCACAACCTTCCGAAGGACCAATGCGATGAAAGTCCATAATTATAATAATAACAACAATATTATTATTATTATTGTAATTATTATTATTATGGAATAATAGCTTAACTCCTTCCCCAAAAACTAGTTCTCTTTTAATTTTTCATGTCCAAAGATAGAGTTCTAATTTTCCAAAATATAAAATTATCGAATTTAAATTAAATAAAGCTGTTCCACCACATCCACACAAGTTAAGTGTGTTAAACTTAGTTTACCAAACAAATACATATTAGTAAGTTCGATAAATTATTTACCAGAGTTGTTCCTTTCCAAAATTTAAAAAAATTGTACCTCAATGAAACAGGACCCTTTTTGGAATAGAGTAATAGTAAATGAATAATAGTAATCATAATAATATAAAAATTGATAACAATACCCCCCCACCACCCCAAAAAAACAACATCATCAAGACCACAGGGCTTTCTACTTGCCTGAAAAATACTATGAGATGACAATGGGCTGAGATAGTTGCTACATTCATATCACATTTGTAAAATTGGCATTAAAGTGATCATACACATCAAAAAACACAAGTACAAAGTAAAGGATGCAGCACTATATTAATGAATGGGTTAAAAGAGCACCAAAAAGTACATTCCGAGTACAACAACAAACCCATTAAAATCTCACAAATTTGGTCTGGTATGATATATTGATGCACTTGCAAGATTGATCAATAAATGGCACAAAAAACAGATCATTAACGATGATATACTCTTTACAGGGAAAAATACCAATTATTTACTTCCCAGCTAAAGCAGAAGTTATGCCCGAGCCACTGGGTGTAGTACTCATATTTTCATCATGGAACTTTCCCATCTGTGAGTTACTCTCTCTTGTGCTGACCTGTTCTGCCTTGTGTATCATAATATCTTGATCAAACAAACACGCCCTCTGTCCTACTTAACAGTCATATTTCACACTTTAACCATTGTACAACTTTTAAATTTTGTTATGGTTTGACTTTCATAAATTATGAATAGTAGTGTCATACTTATACTTTTATACTTTATTTAGTAGTTTAAGTGTTTAACTGAAGTTACGGCCCGGTTCCAGTGACACCGGAAAACGGTGCCACTCCGGTGCCACTGGGTTTTTGGGGCACCTCCGGTGCTCCGTTCGTAAAATTGACGGTTCCTACCCCCCCTAACCCACCCCCTAAACCCCCCACCCTACCCCCACCCCAACCCCGCCATAACCCCCCACATAATAGCCACACATTTTGTGGGGGGGTTACGGCGGGGTTGGGGTGGGGGTAGGGTGGGGGGTTTAGGGGTTGGGTTCGGGGGGGTAGGAACCGTCAATTTTACGAACAGAGCACCGGAGGTGCCCCAAAAACCCAGTGGCACCAGAGTGGCACCGTTTTCCGGTGTCACTGGAACCTGACCGCTGAAGTTATTATTTGTAACTTGTCTTACTGTTTTTTTCCAGATTTTCCTTGACAACTTACCTGAAAATTTAGCTTCATTCGATGCTGATGTACTTCATGCTTTCCTTGCGTTAAATTTGTGTACATCTAAAACATATGCAGAATGGTCATGTGATAAGAGATGGTTAAGTGATATTGTGAGTGAAATGCCTTTTTTTCCTTATGCAGCATTATCTTTAGATCCAATGATTGGAGCAATATCAGCTGGAAACACAGTAGTCCTGAAACCTTCCGAACTAGCACCAAAATGCTCTTCTTTTCTTGCTGATATGATTCCTCGTTATTTGGACTCTAAAGCAATTAAAGTCATTGAAGGTGGAAGAGAAATATCTGAGCATCTGCTGCAACAACATTGGGACAAGATCTTTTTTACAGGTATATTGTATCCCATTTGCTGTAAACGTCCTGTTTGGTACTCACAACTGTGAGCGGTGCTAGTTTTAATTTAAAATGTAAATATAAAAAAACATTTTAAACATTCTTGCCTAGGCAGTAGACCTTCTTTGATCGCTTTCATCTAATATCCTGAGTTGATCCCGGGCAGGACTCCACCACCTGCCAAGTAGGGGTAAGCAAATTCATGCCCAGACTGGTCAGTCCTTCAGCTCAATTATTTTAGAAAATAGGGGTCTGGTCCAGTCCATAACCACCATATACCGGTCCAAACTGGCTGGACTGGAATTTTGAACATTTTCCCATTTTTTTTATCTTCGTCCAATATATATTTGGTGGTATACAATGTACATTTTGTAAACCCTAACTTTTACTCCATTCGTCCCCAAAACTAATTGATGCTCAAACTCACGCAAGGCACATATCCTTCTCATAAAGAGGAAATGAGAAGTGAAATTTATTTTGGGAAGGACAAAAAATGAAAGTGTATTTTTGTTTGGGAGATGGAGGGAGTATCCTTTCAATTACTTTATTCACATATTAAGACATCTAAAAAATATGATTCTGCTCTTCATACCAGTTCGGACCGGTCTTATACCCTGGAAAATGGTCAGTCTTCAGTTTTATCCGGTCTGTCGGGCTGGTGATCAGTCCTAAACGCCTAGAGCCTGAGTAAGAAAACTGATGGGAGTAGGAACGTACGAAAGAAAAGAATGAAAATTTGCTTTTGATATGTAATACGGAGTGATGTAATTACAAGTATTAAGGTTACTCTATGATTATATTTCAGTTCCATCATCTCCGATGGAGCCAAAATTTCACCATTTTTTGGCTTTGGGGTGTGATGGAATAAATCAAAATGGATCTCTAAATTGTCTGCGCTTTAATTAATGAAGTAGCAGTTAGTCAAGCAATGCAACTTTCGACGTTGAGCCGGGGGTCTCTTTGGAAACAGCCTCTCTACTTTCGAGTAGGGGCAAGGTCTGCGTACACACACCCTCCCCAGACCCTACTCTTGTGGGATTTAACTGGGTTGTTGTTGTTGTTGTATGATTATATTTCAGGGAGCCCACAAGTAGGGAAAATCATCATGACTGCAGCTGCAAAGCACTTAACCCCAGTTACTCTAGAGCTTGGAGGGAAGTCTCCAGCCATCATTGACTACATACCTAATTCATCAGATCTAAAGGTCCCTCTTTTTATTTAATCTTTGTTGAGTTTTAATGCTTACAAATAATGATACTATTGGTATTAGAGATATCCACCAGACCATGAATTCACATTTATGTCTCTCTACCTATTGTTCAATTAAAGGTGGCAGCCAAGAGAATAACTAGTGCGAAGTGGGGTGCATGCAACGGCCAAGCATGCATAGGAGTTGATTATGTACTTGTAGAAAATGGTTTTGCTTCAACTCTGGTATTGACAACTGCATATCCCAGAGTCCCATTCATGCTCATTATTTTATCTGTTAGGGGTCCCGTTTGGAACTCAGAAAAATGATAGGGAAAGAAAATATGGGATATTTGAAGGTAAGAAAATGTGGGGGCATGGGTGGGGCTTGGGGTGGGGGATAAAACATTGTGTCGAACTTTAGACAGTTACTTGTGATATTTGCTCAAAGTCATTTTATATATTTATTTATTGCTGTTAACATACAAACACTAAGAATTCTAAATATATGTAAAATTAACTTTTAAAACCATTGATCGTTTTTTTTTTACATTTTTGGAAAAACAAACATAAGAAAATAACTCTTGTTTACATTTCTTTTCCTCTCAATAGTATTTTACGGGATCCAAACATTCCCTTAGATTTTAAATTACTGAAATAACTCAAACTCTGGTTACAATTTTACAGATTGAAGCGTTGAAGAAGTGTATCTGCAAATTTTATGGAGGCGACCTGAAAAAACTAGAGAACGTTTCTAGGATTGTGAACAAGCACCACTTTGAGAGATTAAGAAATCTTCTCAGAGGCCATGGGGTTTCAGATTCGATTATTTATGGCGGTTCAATAGATGAAGAAAATCTGTAACTTTTCTATGTCCCTTTCTGACATTTGCTTTTTACACACACACACATGGTTTAAGAGAAACCAAAATGGCTAGATTTCACAATGCATTTGAGGACCCGTTTGGTGAGTTTTGGAGATATGATAAGATATGAGTTTTGAAATTTGGGAGAAACAATTTGAATTTTGAAATCTGAAACGAAGTTGTTTGGAGAGATTTAAAATTATGATTTAATTAGTGATAGGTGGGTGACGGGCAACGAGGTGGTTGGCGGAGACAATAGTAGCCGGTGGCGGAGAATGGTCAACGGTTGAGAGAGATAACAAATCTCAATAATGGTATCTCCCAAATTCAGGAGATATTGGAACCCTCCATTTGGAAGATTTATGATATTCGGAGATATCAAACACGATGTCTCTTTTGGCTTCGCCAAACAGTCACACCAAAAGAGGGTTCTGCCATCTGAGATATCAAAACCCATATCACTTTTGCTCACCAAACACACCCCGTGACTCTCCTTGTTTATATTGTTGTTATCTGATGCACTGAGCAGGATAATAGAACCAACGATATTGCTGAATCCTCCACTTGATTCAGAGATCATGACTGAAGAAATATTTGGCCCCCTGCTCCCTATAATTACGGTATGCTCTCAAATAATATTATTGAAGTATTTATGTTCTAAAAAACCCCTACTAAGACACAAGGATGCAATGTGCCCAGTGTTTTTTAGAACAATGTGAAATGTTTATGTGAAGTAACATCTAATGTTACACATGTTTCCAAGAAAATAATTTGTTGGGGAAGATATTTTCTTTGGGAAAAATGATTTTAGTGAAATTAGAATATATATTTGTATAATACTCCTTATGTTTGACCCGCAAAATAGAAACCAAACTTGTTCTTGGATAAAAGAATTTCTGTTAAAACAAGTTATTCTCCACAAAAGTCTAAAGAATAAACATTTACTATTTTCTTTAAACTGCAGCCCTTTTGAAGTATCTGACCATATGCTATCTGTTTCACAGCTAAATAAAATTGAAGAGAGCGTCAAGTTCATAAAATCGAGACCGAAACCCCTCGCACTCTATGCGTTCACAAAAAATGAAGTCTTAAAGGAACGAATCTTACATGAGACATCCTCTGGAAGTGTTGTTTTCAATGACACTATGGTTCAGGCATGACCTCCTTTCTCTTGCATTCAAGTCCTAAATTTTTTGATAATGAAATCTTTTACTTTTGGGTTCATGAGTCACGATTGTTAGGTCACCATGTCTTCCTTTACTTTTGGTTACCGACTTTCACTTTTTTGCATTGTTGATTCATGATTGGATATCTCGTCACTTTTGATCCTTTCTAGTTACTTATATGGCAAGATTCAACCACAAGTTGATTAGAAATTAGTTGGGTATGTAATTAGGATGAGTACAAGTTGCAAGTAATCCATACTCATACATGGTACACCCAAAGCAAAAAAAAAAGGAGAGAAAATAGGGGCGGCATAATACTCGTGTTTTGAGCAAAAGTGAAAAATCTTCTTTTGATAATGCTGATTAAGGAATGGAAGTATTTTTTTCTTTGTTTTTTTTTGCTTGGAGTAGAGGTAAGTTGCATGTACATCTTACTTCCCTTAGACCTTGCTCTCTAGTGGTATATACTAGGTTTGGTTTGGTTTGATATAACAACAACACACCCATTAGAATCCCACACAAGGTAGAGTTTGAGGAGGGTGAGTGTACTCAAATCTTATCCCTACATGGAAGTAGAGAGGCAAGCTGTTTCGAAAAGATGTATGGTTTCATTGGTTCGGTTTTGGTTTTAAATTTTCTTGGGAAATAAACTTGCAGTTTGTATGTGATGCATTACCATTCGGAGGTGTGGGGAGGAGCGGGTTCGGTCGTTACCACGCGAAGTATTCATTTGACGAGTTCAGTCACGAAAAAGCGGTGTTGCATAGGACCTTTTACCTGGAGTTGGAGCCTAGACACCCTCCATGGAACAGCTTTAAGCTGGAGTTTGTCAGACTGGTATATAAATTCGACTACTTTGGACTGGTTTTGCTCCTGCTTGGGTTGAAAAGGTCATTCAGATCACGTTAGCTCCCCCCCCCAAACTCCCTTTTGCCAATTTGGTTCATGTTTTCTGTACTATATGTATTTTAAGTAGTATTTGTTACTCCGAAATTTCGATATGTTTGCTGCAGTGGCTTGTCTTGGATGCATTTTGCTAGTTGTACACCACAATTTTGTGCCTCACAGATTTCTCAACCTTGTCTCTGAGAACACACAAAGAGTTGTTTATGCACGAGTCGGGGCGGACAATTGTGGTGTACAAAAAGCATTTTCCATGTCGAGATTGGCTCTCAGTATACATACGAATTTCACCAATAAATTTGTAAAAAAAAAATAATTTATTTATTTACTTTAGGCCGTCTGTATAGATTGCAGTATCTCTTGCCTTGTCTTACATACTTCAATAAGGAATGGCGAACCATATCGTGTGGCTAATTTACGCGGGTAATTTGTACCTTACCATATACTCCGTATGTATTTGAGCTGATTTCAATATATTCATCACTACTCATATCCATTTGATGTGCAGTTCTCTCTATAGAAGTAGCTCCAATCACTTGGGGCCCATTTGATGTGTATTAGATATGAATTCAAAAACTAAGAATTATAGAACAAAATTATATTACATTCATATCACAACCGATAAATTTAGACTAGATCAGAATAAAATTTAATATTCAAATCAAAATTAATCAGATTAGACAAAGAGAACATACCTTAATTCAAAGTCGATTTGCTCTAGATTTTTAGAGCAAAAATTGTAGGTAGTGTATTGTCAAAAAAATGTAGTGACATTTTGGTGAAAATTATTGTTTTACAATTTTGTAGTGTCGTTTTGAGAACTTTTTTTTGTGAATTATCGGGAAAAAATGTATTATTGCTCTAAAAATGTTTGAAGTACATTACGAAATATAAAAATGTACTCTAGGTAGCGAATACTTGAAAAATTTAGACATAGTAAGATTGTAAACGAATTGAACCAAATCGAATAACATAATATTTGAATTTGTATTTGTTTAAGATTCGAATAAGATACTATATTCGTTCTTATTTTGATTACAATATTCTTTTTTCACATACTTTAATATTATGTCAAATCAAATAAATCTTTTTCCAAAATATCTCTAATCAATGAGTAGCCTCATATCTATTTTTTGCTCCCATGGGGGTGAGGATATAAAAAGTGAGAGTATTTTTGTCTTAAAGGTGTTCAGTTACCAAAGTGGAATATTAAAATCTATTTTGGGACGAAAAAAATGAGAATATTATAATCAAGACAGGGACGCAGGGAGTATCATATTTGTATTTGATCATTTTTGGATTCCAATTGTCATAATACAATTCTCGAACCGATTTAAAAGTATTTGATTCTTTCAAGGAGAGAATGAATGAATATTCTTGTGTACTAAGAACAACTCTAAAGGGAAGTCTAAAAGTAAGTAAATGCTACTCATAAAATGGAATATATCCACTTTAATGTTCAAAAAGAGGCTCTCCAACACATGACATAAAATACACTCTATTGTGTTTTTCCATTCACAACATGTAAAAATGGAAGACATTTGTATCAAAGTGGAAAAGCCAATCTTTGCATCTTCTTCTCTTTGTTCTTTGTCTTTTTTCCCAAGTGTAGAAAAAGCAGATTTGGGCCCAACTCATATTAAAAAGTGTAATATAGAAGATATGATTAGAGTAAGTATAAAATATACTCAGTAGTTGATAGAGTAAAATGTGATTTACACATCCAAATTTTACACTCTCCCTTGTAGTTGCTCCAAGGAGAGAATTAATAAAATTAAATTTGCAAAAAAAAACTCAGATGTTTATCAAGGGCAAAATAGGGAATACATATTCATTAATGGATGCAGAAAGTCCTTCGCAGCCTCTGCCCGACTGCCCCCGTCTTCACCCTCAAAAATCTTCCGGATTCTTTTCCGACGGCAGAAGAAAAATGGCGCGAAAGGTTAGGGATTGGGCTCAGAGCCGGAACCTATCCCTAATTTCGACTTTGATCGGAGTATTGCTGCTGGTAATTGGTCCATGGAAAGCCGGAGCTCCCAGTTCTCCGTCAGCCTTCGTTCAGAACGTCATTTACTCAAACCGAATCGCCATCTTCTCCAAATCCTACTGCCCGTAAGTCTCTCTAATCCCATCCAAACATTCCTAAGAAATTAAAATTTAGCACATTAGCAAATCAAGGCATTGTCGTCCTAAATCATGTTTGGCCACTTTATCCTAAACCTTTTATTCACCTTCTTTTCCTATTTTCATTAGTTATTTAGTATAATTCGGAGTAATCTTGTTTTGTAGAAATTTTGATGTAATGTTTGAATGTATAAATTTTATTTTTAAATTTTACACTTATACTCGAATAAATCATATTGAAAATAACGTCAGTTTAACCCCGAAAACTGAAATAGGAAGAAAGTTTTAGGATGGATGAAGTAGCGTAATTTTTGAAACCGAAAGCACAAAGTTTTCATTCCACCAAAATAACCACAAGTTACATCAATCCAACCAAACAAAGCTCAACACAAGCTTAAACGACACAAAAGACAACTGCCAAAGAAGCACTAAACCCCTCAAATTATCTGTTTCCCGCCCTTGCTATTGATATACATTCTAATATGGAACCAGATATAATTGACACATTCTTCAATGTCAGTGGCTTCTTTCCGATGAACGAGTTTATTCCTTGCTTTCCAAATGGTATAGACCATGGCAGCCCAAGTTGCACTCCAAATTTGCTTCTGCTTTCTACTCCCCCTCATCCCAAGTTTAGAGCAGAACTCCCTAAGATTGTTTGTATATGCCTTGCACCCCAGTTGGTCTAGTGTCCTCTCATAAACTTGTTGAGCATAATCACAAGAAAGAAATAAGTGGTCATCATTTACGCTCTTTAAAGGTCCTTTAAGCATTTTAAGCTTCTGGATAAGCTGGTACATTGGTCTTCCTGGTATATGCTTACACCAGATATGAGAGAGGCTAATCTTAAAACTGGTGTCAAGAGCCCACATATCACAAAATTTGAAAATACTGGCTGCCTTGCTGTAGTACTGATCTGGAAGTAGGATAATTTAGTAGGTAGGAAAAGAGCATATGTTGATACATATTCCTTTCGTTTGATTAGAATGGAGAAAACAAGTATTGATGCCACAATGCCAAACAGAACCAAAAAATATACGTAGAACTAAGTATAGGTAGACAAAGTTTTGATACCCAAAATCATTTACACTATGCTTGGTTCAAGGAATTTGAAGGAGAAGAAAAGAAAAGAAAATGAGATGAAAACATATTTTTTGTTTGGTTAGAGACTTAGAGAGGAAAAGAAAACAAAAGTGGAAGGAAAAGGAAATGAAAAGACAAATTGTACTAAGAGGAGGGAAAGCAAAACTCCTCCCATTTTGGTGAGGACAATGAGAGAACCATTTTCTTTTTTTTTCTTTCCGAATTCCTTGAACCAAACATAGTGTTAATAAAAGAAGTAGAATTGACATTATAATATACAATAAATTTAAAGCAAGTTAGCCAAACTATTTGCATACAATATATATTATAAAACATACATTAGAGAAGGAAGGTAAATTATGATCATTTTTTTTCAAACATAATGCGTGTAAGGTGTGATGTCATATTTTGTTTTGTTTATTATTATCATTTGAAATGTCTAACATATCACCTTCAAACCTTTTGTTGTTAGAAAATGAAAATTTTAAAAGTGAAAAGATCATAATGAATTGAGACAAACTTAATAGTGTAGGGAAAAAGAAAAACCTCAAATAGTTATTCTTTTAAATCTCCTTTCCGAACATTCCATGTAGAAGAGTTATTCTTTAATTCTTTTACATTGTTGTTTTTATTCTTCCATTCACTAATACGTCTATGGTAGGTATAAAGAACTGGATATGGAAAGATACCTTACACATGTTATGTTTGAAAAATAAGTGTCTCTAGATTTTCATTTTTTGTTTGAACATATGTCTAATAATATGTATAGTTTAATTTTATTTTAATTTCTAATTGTTAGTGACTCCGGATATAATAACATTAGTTTGATCTTTACTTTTCTTAATGATTTTGGGTATCAGTATTTTCTGCACGATTATTTGTTTTCCACACACATACAAAGAAAGCAACAATGCCCACATATGCTACTTTTTGCCTTCCAAAATATTTACGTCATCTCATCTATGTACTACACTACTATGTAGTGACATCTTTGTTGCCAACTTTGTATGATTAGTTGGATTTTTTATTTCTTTCAATGGTCCAGATATGGTGGCTTTTAAATTAGGTTTATTATTTATGGTGCTCTGTGTTCATGCCCAAAACACGATGCCTAGTTTACCACACATCGATTTCCTTATGCACTAAATTTTAATCTCTTAAGCAATGTTTGGTTCATGGAATCCTAAAGGGTTTGTTGGAATATAAGGTTTGTAATGCTTTATTCTCATATTTGGTTCATTTGTTTGCATCATGAAAAAACATCTTGGAATGCCACTTTGAAGAATTGAAAAATCTATGATTTAGCCTATTTTGAAATGGTCCACTATGTTGGTTTCAATGCAGTTTCAGACAGTAACTCCAATTTAAGGAGTGTGATGGTCGGGTTTGATTCATATTGGCCATTGGACATCTAATTGATTTACTAAATTTCTCAAATATTGAAATTATTTGAATTAGCACAAACTCGATGCTATGGAAACTTGAGTTTGACAGGTGCAGTTAAGATTGTGTAATTGTCTTAACATTTTTAAATATCTACATGGGTGGATCTTGAAAAAGGTATTCCATGCGTGCCAAGAAGGTATTTAAGGACCTAAAGGAGACACCTTTTGTCGTGGAGCTGGATCTTCGAGGTAATTCATTTCCTTCCCTTCCGAACTCAGTTCTAGTGGAAAACTGGAAATCTCCCGTTAAAAATTAATCTGTAGCTAAACTGCCTCTCTCTTAGAAAATGTGATGGATTTTGTTCAGCCACTGAATTTAGTGAGTTTGTCACTAATCTGCTATAGACATCAACAACTGTCATCCGTAATCAGTACCTCCCTCTCCCTTCATCTACTGTGTACTACAACTGAAACCTGATGCTCTACCCTTATTAGACTCTTGTCTCTTAACAGTTCCGTAGAACTAGACATAACTCCTAGTAAAAATGGGTTCATAATCGTACACAGAACACATTTCAACTATTAAGCAGGGCTACCAATGTTCATATTTTGCCTGACGCTACACATCATAACTCAAGTCTCAAACACAACAATGTGTCACCACCAACAACAATAACATCAAAGTAAAATCCCACAGAAAGGGGTCTGAGCGTGTGTGGATGCAAACCTTACCTCTCTACTTAGAAACAGAGAAGCCATTTCTAAAAGACCCTTGCTCAAAACCCAGAAGCAAGGACAAGAAGAAAGTAGTGTGAACAACGTAATAGCACAATAAAAACAAACACACACACAGAACCTGGCAACCTGCTAACTCAGACACAAAAGCACACATGTAGAAATTAAAAACTCAGGCATAAAAGCACCTGCAGGAACTACAAACTAATGCTGAAGGTATAACCAAACACCTTAATCCTAGGTCTCAAGATGCTTTTATCTATGACCATAGACCATATTCTTGGTGAGATCCTGACGTCATAAGCCCAGTCTAATCAATTTCTTTCAACTTCTTTTAGGTCTATCTCTACCCCTCCTTACGCTCCTAGTTCAAGCCTCGTGCCTCCTCACTAAAGCATCCACACTTCTCTTCAGTATTTGCCCAAACCACCTTAATGTGTCACCCAGTAACAAATATAACAATCCACTCATGTAACACAACACTTAAATTACTAGCTATAAGACTATATTATAAACGTCAAATGCTGGTGGTTGATTTAAGTATTATTTGGTACACCCCCACATTTATTTATTACTTGCAACCTATACTGTTAGTACACCCTCACATTTATTTATTTTAAAAATAACATAGTTACATTATACAGAAAGTGCTTAATGTAACAATACAACACCAACTAAGCCTTATATCCAACAACTAACTTGGGGCTCATGTAGCTGTCCTTATGTTACTTGGGATACAAGGCTTAGTTGTTTCTGTATTGTTAGATTATCCACTCTACATATATCTTAATTTATGCTTCTCATTAAACTTCTGTTCTTCCTTCAAATATACACCCTAACACAAGCTCTAAGTTCTAAAATAATGCTAAGCGCTTAGATTATTACTGTTTAAGATTAACAAACAATACACACCTTTAGGTATGGATTATTTCTGTAACTAACATAAAGAAAGTTTGTGTTTCCACTGCCATATCTTCTACTCTGCTCTGACGGTCATTATAATTGTGAATGTGATGGCTTCATTGGACATATACAGATGACGGGCAGCGCATTCAAGATGTTATTCTAGATCTGGTGGGCCGCAGAACAGTCCCACAAGTATTCGTGAATGGGAAACATATTGGTGGATCTGATGGTAAAGCCTCAAAGTTTCAATTATAGATCTGCTGTTGTGTTTCTGTCACCTGTCTGAACTAATTCACCCTCCCTGCCCCACCCCTTCAAAATGTGCTTGTGATATTTAGATCTTTACATAGCTGTTGAAAACGGGCAATTGGAAAATCTTCTGAGCAAGGAATAGCCCAAAGCATGCTGGTGGTTTATAGAAGTCAGCACAACTGTGGAGCACTGGAAAGCTATGCTAAATTTTATGGAGGACTTGTTAAAAGTACCTTGAACTTTGGCACCCACGCTAATTTATGGAGTTTAATGTGTAATTTGTGTTTTTTTTTCCGAGTGTGCGTGTGTTTTGTGAGACTGTCGGTTACTAAGTTGTATTTAATTTGTATTTTAACAATAACATATACGGACTTACGGAGTAGTTTAAAATTTGGATGGTTGTATGCTAGCTATTAATGTCACCTCTGAACACACACACACACACCCGGTGTAGCCCTACTTTTGATAGCCTATGTTCACTTTTTAATTAAATTTGCTCACGACTCGTCTTGGTGTGTTGGGCCTCATTTTGTTAACAACCTAGGGGTCAACACATTTTTGGTCCTCCAAGTGATATAACCTTAAGATGAATTGTGGCATGGGGGGGATTTTTATCAGTCTCATTACATCTCTGGTTCTTTTCGATCTAGTTCACCAGTTACCGACTGGATTTTAGTTATGAGAAAAAAGGTGTTGGGGATTGTGGAACCGTATTTGCACATGGTTAGTCAAAAAGTTACTAGTCCTGACCTCAGATTCGGTTCTAGCTGAAATTGATGTCGTGTCTACCCCTATTGCTTGGTTCTTTGTTCATTGTTACCTTTCATCGATGTGGTCTTCCTCAATTGTTATGACTATGTTTGGCACTGTGATTGGGAACTGCTTATGGATTATTCAACTCAAACTCTCACCTATTTTGTATATTTTGCATTCTAGCCTCCAATCGTTCTGATCGCAATTTGGTGCTTATTACTTCTCCAATTGCCAGTTTGAGTAGACATCAATTTGATGCTTATTGCTTATTGAGTTAGCAATGCCAACATGTTCTACAAATTATTGATCTAAATCTAACCATCCATCCTTTTTATAGAACATGCTTTGATGCATTTTTCTAAAACCAAAACACAATCATTCTTGGTACACTTTTATAAAACACAAGAGATTATGCAGAATTCGTATAATGCACGGGGATTTTGTTAAGAACAAAAGCACACACACGAATATAAAGCAAGAAAGCGATAAAGAACACGAGATTTAACGTGGTTCGGTCTAATCTGACCTACATCCACAGGGGCAACTAGGGTTTGTATTATTGAGTGATAATGATTACAAGTACAGGAGATCATATATATAGACAACTAATTAGGGTTTAACCCTTGCTGGACAAGTTATAGCAAACTGGGCTTAAAACCATTTGGGCCGGCCGAAACCCTAATCTGGTCTCCTAACTCTCAGTTGTCTACAAGTGGGCCACTTTGGGCCGATGACTACACATCACCAACAATCTCCCACTTGGAGTCTTTGGACCAAACTGCGGCTTCTCTCTGTACTTCTGTAAATGAAAGATCCTCCTTGATCTTCACATCTCCCTAGTTGCCCCTCTCCTCAACACTATTCCAGGAGACCAGCTGAAGCTATGCAAAGCTTCAGCTTATCCAGCACCACTGTCTTGGTGAACATATCTGCTGGACTCTTAGCACCTGAGATGTTCTTCAACTTGATTGTTCTATTACTGATCAATCCCCTCACAAAGTGATACCTCATCCCGATGTGCTTCGTCTTGCCATGATAAACAGGATTTTTAGCAAGTTTCACTGCACTCTCATTGTCACAGTACAATAAGTAATCAGACTGTTGTTTGCCCAACTCTTTAAGAAAAGTCTTCAACCAAACTAGTTCTTTACTGGCCTCTGCAACAGCCATATACTCAGCCTCTGTCGTAGATAACGCCACACTTTTCTGAAGTCTAGACATCCAGCTCACTGCTGTTCCTCCCACTGTAAAGACATACCCTGTAGTGCTCTTAAATGTCTCTCTACAACCACCCAAATC